ACCCAATTCCAGCAACCATTCCTCATATGTTTTAGCCTCCAGTCCCCTGGTTAGCCATGGCCTTGAGCTTGACAAAAACAAAAGGCACAAATATTTGGGATGTTTGGTGCAGGGAGATATATCCCTTACCAATGGCCTCATTCAGCAATCATTTGAAGTTACAACAGCGCTGGAAAAAAATAATCTTTAAGCAATGCCTGCCGTTTATGACCTTTGCAATGTCTCTGGGTCACATGATTAATGTTACATTCAGAACCTGTTGTCCTCTGCCTGACTTGTTTTTCTTTTTCCCCATTGCCAGAGACGTTGGAGAGGAAGGGATTGCAAGAGAGTAACCAAGCCCATCGGAAGGAACGTACTAGCTTGTTTGCAGAGCACACTCAAGGCTGCAGGCATACTCTCCTGTAATCTTTCCCTCTCCAACGAATGTAAATACAAAATTACTTTAATTACCCTCTTGCTAATTATCCCAGGATTGGGTAGGAGCATTCCGAAGGGCAAGGGGGTGGGGGAAAGGGTAGCACTGTTACAGTTACAAGGTTAGCAATCTGCATCATTTAACTACAGAGCTGCCAAACCCAATTGTGGCCGCTAAATGAGGACTATCTGTAACATGGCGGCCAAGGCAGATATGTCTTTCGTTCACAATGATCTAGTTCAAGCTTCTCCAATATGCAGGAAAATCGTCCCCAGGGGGTGGCCATCCAACTTTTGCTCAAAACCTCCAGAGGTGGAGAACCTTACTACAGCTCACGGACAGATCTCATGATTCAGAAGTTTTTCCTTAGCTTTAGAACTTATCCCTATACTAGAAAATTCTTCCATCCAACTCCTTGCTAGACATTCCCAAGGCTCCAGTTTAATTAAAACCATTACCCACTTTTCCACAATTAAGTGCCCACAATTAAGCCAATCACAACACCTCAACCGGAAAAGGCGTCACAGGTTTCCAGAAGCAAAAAAAATAAAAGGGATTTACTCAGAACCTGGGAAAATGCTGTGCAACTTCCATGGCAAAACACAGCAGGTTGGATTCCTAATTCCTAATCCTCACCAGAAGGAATCCAGGCCTGTTTCCTCTTAAGTTGAGACACTGAGAACCCAGATCGGCTTTGGAAGAGGCAAGGGTTAGGGTTTACAGTCGGGATGGAGCTTGGGGTGAGCTCCTGTAAACATTTCTCCCTGTGTTTGGATAGGAAAGCTACACATTAAGCTCTGTTTGTTGGTTTGAAATCATATATTTTTCATTTGGGGCTACGAGGCACAGCGGGGTCTCAAGGCAGAGCCCCTGAACAGAGAATTGGCTATCCTCCCCAATTCAGAATAATCCTTTAATTATTATTACCTTATTTAGTTCCGATTTGTCCTCAGATTTGTGGCCCACCTTTTACCAATGAGCTCAAGCCAAGAATCAGAGACAGTGCCTGGCTGTTCAGAAAATTTTGAGGGGCGGCGGCACAAGGGGGGTTTGAACCAGGGTTTCCCCCAAACCAATTCATCCTTTTCACCACAGCACCTCAGTGGCAATCACTAAAAGGGCGTGATCCACTTTATAGACTTTTGAAGACGGTTCCGCTACTTCTGCCTTCTCCAACTTGGCAGCTACAACTCACAGAATGCCCAGGAGCCATGTTGGCTGGGAACCATGGAGCTTACAGTGCAACATCTCTCAAAGGCTCCTGGCTGGGGAAGATGGTTGCAGGCTGCTAGCTAGAAAGCTGTTTCTACAATGTTTCACAATTAGCTGCAGAGGAAGTATTGTTTCAAATGGTTAGGAATCGTTGAAAGCCTTTCATTTAGATACAACAACATTGTTTCTCAGCCTTGACAACTTTTAAACAGTCTGGAGTTCACGCTGGGAACTGTGAGGATTGAAGGCCACACACTTTCTAAAGCGTTGTTATATAAACAGAGGCATAGAATCAAAATCACATGAAGTATTAGTACCGCATCTGGAATATGCCATCTCGTTTTGGTCACCACATTACAAAAAAAGATGTTGAGACTTTGGAAAAAGTGCAAAGAAGGGCAACTAAGGTGATTAAAGGCCTAGAGACTAAAACATATGAAGAATGGTTGCAGGAATTGAGTACGGCCAGTCTAGAGAAAAGAAGGACCAGGGGGAACATGATAGCAGTCTTCCAGTATTTGAGGGGCTGTCACAAAGAGAGTCCCCTGGACTGCAAGGTGATCAAACCAGTCAGTCCTAGAGGAGATCAACCCCGACTGCTCTTTAGAAGGCCAGATCCTGAAGTGGAAACTCAAATACTTTGGCCACCTAATGAGAAGGAAGGACTCACTGGAGAAGAGCCTGATGGTGGGAAAGATGGAGGGCAAGAGAAGAAGGGGATGACAGAGAAGGAGGTGGCTGGATGGAGTCAATGAAGCAGGAGGCCTGAGCTTAAAGGGACTCCAGAAGATGGTAGAGGACAGGAAGGCCTGGAGGAATGTTGTCCATGGGGTCGCGATGGGTCGGACACGACTTCGCAATTAACAACAACAACACAAAGAGAAGGGGGTCAACTTATTTTCCAAAGCACCAGATGGAGGGACAAGAAACAACGGATGGAAACCGATCAAGGAGAGAAGCAACCTGGAATTAAGGAGAAACTTCCTAACAGTGAGGACAATTAGCCAGTGGAACAGCTGGCCTTCAGAAGTTGTAAGTGCTCCAACATTGGAGGTTTTTAAGAGGAGACTGGACCAGTCACTTATCTCAAATTGTATAGGGTCTCCTGCTTGAGTAGGGGGCTGGACTAGAAGACCTCCAAGGTCCCTCTCAGCTCTATTCTGATTCTGATTCTGATTCTGAAAGTTACCAAGTTCAGGTCCCGCCTTGCAGTCTGCATTGGGGTCTGCCTGCTCTGGCACCCCCATTCCTCCCCCCACCCCCCACCCCGAGGCCTCAACCTGCCCTTATGGCCTGAGCCCAGGCTTCAGAGCTTGGAGAAGCAGCCAGGTTTAACTTCCTGCTTCGTTGACCAGGAGGAGCCCCAGGTGCGTACTCTGTTCTGCTTCTCCTCCCCCCTTTTTCGGTCCCTGGGACTGGTGGCCTCCCGGGGGTGGGCCTCGGGATCTTCGGAAGCGCCACAAACACCACCTGCCATTGACTACGCATCAGGTATAATTAGCAGCCAGAAAAGGCTGGGCAAGCCGGGGGGGGGCTGCATAGGGGCAATTGGGGGGGTGGGCATTGAGGGAGAGATGCCAGGGCAGGGCAACACCCACCCACCCACCCACCCAAGACAGGAGAGGAGACCCTGGGGAAGGGGAGGGGGGGCAAGACCTGCTCCAAGGGCCCGGGGGTCTCCCCTTTCTGCAGCCGGGGAGGGAAAGTGGGGGGGGGCTTAAGCAGAACTCTGGGCGAGGCGAAAGAGCCTCTCCAAACCGGCTCCCCCCCCCCCAAGGGGCTTCTTTCAAGCGCTTCCACCGAGGGGCTGCGCACCTCTCTCTCTCTCTGCTTTTTTTCAGCAGCGAAGCGCTGGGGGCCCAGGGAAGAGTCGCGGGACGGGAGACCACCAGGCGATCCCAAGCCTGAGCAGGGGGTCGGACTAGATGACCTCCAAGGTCCCTTCCAACTTTTACTATTACTCTTAGTAAGAGCCCTTCCAGAAGGCAGCCAGGCAGGCAGGCGGGGAGGCGTGGAGAAGCGCCGCCCTTCTGGAGAGCGAGCCCGGCCAGGGTTTGGGGCTCCCGGCAGAGGCCGGAGCCAGCCCCGCGGGGCCCGGGCGGGCGAGCGGGCGAGGCGGGGCGGCTCAAGGGCGATCGGCAGCCGGCGGACGGGCGAGGCTGCCCTTGGCCGCGGGCAGCCCAGGCGGGCCAGGGGGACTCACGTCATGTTGCGGACGGTGCGCCCGCCGTTCCAGAGCAGGCAGACCAGGCTGGTGAGGGCCGAAACCACCACGCAGAGCGCGCAGTAGCTGCTGATCTTGGCCCGGAACCGGAGCCGCGGGCTCAGCAGCACCGCCGCCGCCGTCAGCAGCAGCAGCGCCAGCAGCAGCGCCAGGGCGGCCGTCCCCATCCTCCCGGCCGGCCGGCCGAGCCGTCAGAGCGCCGCGAGGAGACAAGCCGGACCGCGCACCTGCGCCACGCGCGGCCCGAGAGCTCCGGAGCCCGGCGGAGAGTCGGGCAGCGCCTGGAGCCGCCCCGCCGCGCTCTCGCTCTTAAGGGGCGGCCGCCTCCCCCGGCTCGGTCCCGCCCCGCGCCCCGCCCTCCCCGGAACTGTCTCGGAGCCCGCCCGGGGTGGGGGGACCGCTGCGCTGCTCCGATCGACCCCCTGGCTCAGGGGTGGGCAACCTTGGCTTTTTTATGACTCGTGGACTTCAACTCCCAGAATTCCTGAGCCACCTTGGGGGAACTAGGCCCCTTCATGACTGTGGACTTCAACTCCCAGAATTCCTAAGCCAGCATGGGGGAACTGTGGCCTCTTTATGACTCGGGGACTTCAACTCCCAGAATTCCTAAGCCAGCATGGGGGAACTGTGGCCTCTTTATGACTCGGGGACTTCAACTCCCAGAATTCCTCAGTCAGCATGGGAGAACTGTAGCCTCTTTATGACTCGTGGACTTCAACTCCCAGAATTCCTCAGCCACCATGGGGGAACTAGGCCCCCTCATGACTTGTGGACTTCAACTCCCAGAATTCCTCAGTCAGCATGGGGGAACTGTGGCCTCTTTATGACTCATGGACTTCAACTCCCAGAATTCCTCAGCCAGCATGGGGGAACTATGGCCCCTTCATGACTCGGGGACTTCAACTTCCAGAATTCCTCAGTCAGCATGGGAGAACTGTAGCCTCTTTATGACTCGTGGACTTCAACTCCCAGAATTCCTCAGCCAGCATGGGGGAACTAGGCCCCCTCATGACTTGTGGACTTCAACTCCCAGAATTCCTCAGTCAGCATGGGGGAACTGTGGCCTCTTTATGACTCGTGGACTTCAGCTCCCAGAATTCCTCAGCCAGCATGGCTCAGCTTGGAAACCTCTCCTTTTCCCCTCAGCATGGCTGGCTCAGGAATTCTGGGAGTTGAAGTCCACGAGTCATAAAAGGGCCAAGGTTGCCTACCCCTGCCCTGGCTGGCTCCCCTCTGGAATCCCAAAGGTGCTTTTTCAAAAAAAAAAAAAAAAAAAAAAGCCCCTGGACTTTCTTGTTTCCCTTTGAAGACGTTTCGCTCCTCCTCCAAGGAGCTTCTTCGGGTCTGACGGGAGAGAACAGAAGAGAATAAATATAGTGCAATAACTTTGTTGTCACTTTGAATGGACACTTATCGGTATGTGTTAAAATAAAATTCCATGGTGTGCAGCTCTCAAAGGGTTGCCACCTCCGATATACACCACGCAAATAGGACAAAAATAAATAAATACAGGGGAAAAGCAAATAAATACAGAATTATGGATGGTGAGGAATGGCAGGATTTCTACTCCTTGCAGACAGCTGGTCGTTTGCCTTCTTTTAGAGAGTCCTTGAGGCCATCTGGAGGTTTATCTGTGTCCTCAGGGTCACCTGGATAATGCAAACAGGTGTGGAGTCTTCTTGGAACTGCTGAAAGGATTTGTGTTGTAGACTGCAGATAGATGATGTCGGATCCCTCCCCCTCTGTTGAGAGAGGACTGATCAGTTCTGACCTAGTTGGCCACTTTGACCCCTCTTTCAAACCAGCGGTCCTCTCTGTCCAAAATGTGGACTTTGCTGTCTTCAAAAGAGTGGCTTTTGTCTTTGAAAATGCAGATAGACTGTTGAATTTTGACCTGATGGGTTTCTTCTGCCGTGTTGTGCCATCCCCTTTGGGGGAGGGGCTGGGAGCCCCATAATAGCACTAGCACTTAGGCTTATATACCGCTTCACGGGGCTTGACAGCCCTCTGCAAGCGGTTTACAAATTCATATACTGCCCCTCCCCAACAATCTGGGTTCTCATTTTACCGACCTCGGAAGGATGGAAGGCTGAGTCAACCTTGAGCTGGTCAGGATCGAGCTTCTGACTGTGGGCAGAATTAGCCTGCAATACTGCATTCTAACCGCTGCGCCACCAGGGTTCTTGATTGGCTGTTATATATTAGGATGTTAGATAGCAATTTCACAGTGTTTACAGCTCTCTGCAAGCAGTTTACAAAGTCATGTATTGCCCCCTAACAATCCGGGTCCTCATTTTACCGATCTTGGAAGGACGGAAGGCTGAGTCGACCTGGAGCCAGTCAGGATCGAACTGCCGGCAGTGGGCAGAGTCAGCCTGCAATACTGCATTCTCACCACTGCACCACTAAGGCTAGCAACAAGAGAGGCAGTCCTCAAGTTACAACTACAATTGAGCCCGATTTCTGTTGCTAAGCAAGACAGTTGCTAAGTGAGCTTTGCCCCAGATGATGATGATGATGATGATGATGATGATGATGATGATGATGATGATGATGATGATGATAATGATAATAATAATAATAATAATAATAATAATAATAATAATAATAATAATAATAATAATAATAATAATAAAGTTGGAAGGGACCTTGGAGGTCATCGAATCCAGCTCCCTGCTCAGGCAGGAAACCCTACACCATTTCGGACAAATGGCTGTCCAGTCTCTTCTTAAAAACTTCCAGTTGTTGCCACAGTTGTTAAATGAATGGCTGCGGTTGTTGGTCACCCAGTTGTTGAGTGCCTCTGGCTTCCCCAATGACTTTGCTTAGCAGATCCCAAAGGGTGATCGCATGGTGGGACTGCAGCTGTCGCAAATACACGCCGGCTGCCGAGTGTCCGAATTTTGATCACATGACCATGGGATACTACAACGATCGTGTGAAACACCACTGTAACTTCGAACAGTCACTAAACAAATGATGGTAAGTCGAGGACTTCCTGTCGCTGGATAAGGAAGCCACATCTTCGGGAGCCCCGGAAGGAAAAGTTGTCACTGAAATCGTGTTCCTTCCTCACCCAAGTGGCCGTCTGTCAGTGTCGGGGTTACAGCTGCCAAAAGGGGAAATTAGAGTCATAGTTCCCCGTTTTGAATCGCTGATACTATTGTAGTTTAGGACAGAGGTCCCCAAACCTTTGCGCACCAGGGACCGGTTCCGTGGAGAGAGGTTTTTCCGCGGACCAGAGGGGGCGTGGTTTTGTGTGCTGCCTGCATCCCGCGGTCGGGGCTTTGCTTGTTTGTGCGGACCGGTTGCTGGCATGCCGTGGCCTGATGCTGGTCCACAGACCGGGGGTTGGGGACCCCTGATTTAGAAGTATGTCTGTATGTGGTTATGCTTGGTACCTGTATATATTTAGAGTAACCCTAAAATGAGTAGGCTTTGCTGTTCTGGGGAAAGCCCCCTCCCCTCCCTGGAGCACACTCTTCTGCTCAGAGGATCTGTGGATCAGAGTTCCCACCCCCCTTGTGATGGGATCTGTAGTTGGGTAAGGGAGAGACGGCTGCTGGAGCATCACCCAATTTCGGCCTCCGAGCGAGCGTTGTGGTCCCTACTGGAGATCAAAATTCCCCTTTTCGCATTTGCCAATAAACCTTTTTCAAGTCCCAGAGAATGTGGAATCCTTACCACGTGGATTTGCTTCTCCTTTTCGTTCTGTGCTTTGGGGGGGGGGGGGTATTTATTTATTTATTTATTTATTTATTTATTTATTTATTTATTTATTTATTTATTTATTTATTAAATTTGTTCGCCATGCATCTTGCATGGAAATGACTCTGGGCGCCTTTCAACATTAAACACCCTCACAAATATATCTAAAACAATAAAAATGGAGATTACAGTAAAATGCAAGTGCAAGCATAAATTATTCTAGGAATAAAGACTAATGGGAGACCTTCGGCTGGGTTGAAGATCGTATTTTTATTTAATCCTTTAATATTCACTCCAGTGGAGCTGAAGGGGAGCAAATGGAAAAAGCCCCCCCACACACACACACCCAATCCTGCAAAGGCACCACGGAGTAGCTGCTTCAAGACTATTTAATCACCATTCGAATGAGCAATTTTTATCAATATGGAGAAGATGGACTGTTTATATTCAAAAGAAACACAGAGTGGTAGAATATAATTTAGGTTTCTAGATTTTTTTAAGTTTGTTTACTTTTTCTATCTTTTTTTGTAGATTAAGATACTTTGTGGAGTTAGAGATATTAGTATTTGTTTACTTTTATATGAATATTATCCTGGGATTAGGTTTGGGAAGTCCGGGGGGTGGGTGGGGGGGTTTTGATTGGTTCTTGTGTTTACTTGTGATTGTTTTTTATGATGGTAAAAAATAAAATTTCTTAAAAAAAAAAAAAAAAGACCATTTAATCATGTAAATTTTGAAAACAAAATACAAGCTCTGTCTCAAGGATTTGATTTGATTTTGATTTTATTAAATTTCTACCCCGCCCTTCTCCAAACGGACTCAGGGCGGCTTACAGCCATTTAAAACAGTACGTAATACAAAAATGCTAATTTAAAAATGTAATTAAAATAGAATATTAATTATTGGCCTTTTCTTATTAAAATTATTTTAAAACCAAAATTAAGATAACCCTTAGGCCAGGCCTGCTAACTTAAATAGCCATGTCTTGAGGGCGCGGCGGAAGGAGGGGAGATCCGGAATCACCCGGATCTCTGGGGGTAGTTCATTCCATAGGGTGGGGGCTCCCACCGAGAAGGCCCTCCCCCTGGGGGTCGCCAGCCGGCACTGTCTGGCTGACGGCACCCTGAGGAGACCCTCTCTGTGGGAGTGTATCAGCCGATGAGAGGTAATCTGAGGCAGAAGGCGGTCTCGGAGATAACCAGGTCCGATGCCATGGAGGGTAGCAAATCAAAAGCAGAGGGGGTGGACTAGATGTCCTTTGGTACCCCTCGGAAGGAAAGCCCCGTCGGCTGAAGGAGCCGCCTAAGCCACGGGCCTGATTTTCATTTCTGAACGCTTGTAGGAGTAGTAGTGGCCTCTCCCCCTTTGCCAGTTGATGCCATCCCCACGAGATTTGTGTTCGCCCAGCCAGTATCGCCCGTTGAGGTTGGAGACGTGGCAGTCTTTATACCACCAGGCCCCTTTGTACTTCTCGGCGCAGTTGAACTTTTGGGGGTCCTGCCGCTTATCTCGGGTGGAGAAGGTCATGTTGTTGTGGTAGGAAAGCGAGTTACCTGGCAGGCAGAGAGGGGGGTGGGTGCCTGGAAGGCCAGCTCAGGATATCTCCAGTTCACTCGCCTGACTGGCACTGCCCAATTCGAAGAGGCCCATGGAGAAGGACGCTGATGCCCCCTGGACTTTGTCAGGGACTCACCTGCAGGGCCCCCCGTGAAGGCGCCCAGAGTTAGCCGATACCAGTCGGATTCTGCCGCCACCTGGAAGGACGCATATTTGGCGAAGGACTGCTCATTGTCGAAATCAGTTAAGTCAATACGCAATTCGTTATTTCCTAGGATGAAGAGAACAGCCACGTGGGTCATTTTGCGCACTGCTCGGTAACCAAGACTCACAGCCCCATCGCCAGGTTTCTCTGGCGCCTCCTCCATCCACAGAGGGGGCTGAGGATCCATTCATGGCTCTTCCCAGCGAGGGTCCTCCGCCCGTCTCCCCTGGCAGCAGGAGGGTTCAGGGCTGCCAGGGGAAGCCCCTCACCCAGCGAGGTCAAGCGGTGCAGGTGGTCGTTCCCCAGCCAGAATTCGGTCAGCTGGCTTCCAAATCCCTTCTTGTAGGCAGCCCAGTCCCGGAAAAAGTCCACGGAGCCGTCCGACCGTCTTTGGAAGACCTGCGGGCGAGAATCGGGACCCTTGGTAAGGACAGATGAGAAGATTATAGGAAGCTCGCTTCCCGTTATTCAGGACGGTGCTTACAAGCGCTTATATGTGGTTAGAGCTCTGAGCATTGTTAGAGATCCCCACACATCCACTTCATCATCTGTTCCTGTTGCTCCCATCTGTGAGGAGGTTTCGAAGTATTTATAGCAGGAAAACCCGATTCTGTAACAACTTTGTTCCCTATGCCAGGGTTCCCCAACCTATGGGCCGCAGCCCGGTACTGGGCCGTGGCCCAGTGGCCACCAGGCCGTGGAAATGGCTGGCGAGTGTGCGCAAATGTTTGTGCACTCCCCCACTTGTGCTAGTGCCGCCGCGAGGTGGGTAGCTGCGCACGGGTGCAAGCAGCCCCATTTGTGCATGTGTTTGCATGCGCAAATTTTCCCGCTCCTCCTTTTCCCTCCAGACTGCCAAACAGGAACGATTGGGGACCTCTGCCCGATGCCATCCGTCTGGTAAACTCTCAAGATCCGTTTTTCTCACCATGTACGGTACATGTATGCATCCGAACTGGACTGTGTTGTTTCTCTGGGCCACCTATGTCTGTGTATGTGGATACATACATCATTTATTTATTGTCATGTTTATGCAGTGTGTATTGGAGGTGGTTACCCTTTGAGAGCTGTATGCAACGAAATCTCATTTTAATGTATGCTGATTCATGCACCTTTAAAGTGACAATAAAGTTATTGTGCTAGTCTATTATTCTATTCTATTCTTAACCTTCCCTCTGGGCAGGTCCCGGAATCAAAGGCTTTCTCTCCCCAGACCCCTCCCTTCCAAATTTTTAGGGGTCTCAGAGCTGGCCTTACCCACCCAGAAGTGGTCTCAGGAAAGACTCCGTTTCTGTTTCATCCCATTCCTGGCAAGCAGCAAAGTTACAACCCTGGGTGTGTCTGCCGGGGGGCATAAGCCCCTTCCCCAGGGCAGGCCTCCCTCAAAGGGACGGTGGTCAGAAGCACCACATGCCTGGGCCACGCCTGGGCAGAGCCACCCTCTGTTATAATAGTAGTAGTAGTAGTAGTAGTAGTAGTAGTAGTAGTANTAATAATAATAATAATAATAATAATAATAATAATAATAATAATAATAATAATAATAAAGTTGGAAGGGACCTTGGAGGTCATCTAGTCCAACCCCCTGCTCAGGCAGGAACCCTACACCATTTCAGACAAATGGCTGTCCAGTCTCTTCTTAAAAACTTCCAGTGTTGGAGCATTCACCGCTTCTGGAGGCAGGTGGTTCCACTGGTCAATTGTTCTAACTGTCAGGAAGTTTCTCCTTAATTCTAAGTTCCTTCTCTCCTTGGTCAGCTTCCATCCGTTGCTTCTTGTCCTGCCTTCAGGGGCTTTGGAGAATAGCTTGACTCCCTCTTCTTTGGGGCAGCCCCTGAGATATTGGACACTGCTATCATGTTCCCCCCTCGTCCTTCTCTTCGTTAAACTAGACAGACCCAATTCCAGCAACCGTTCCTTATATGTTTTAGCCTCCAGTCCCCTGATCATCTTTGTTGCTCTTCTCTGCACTCTTTCTAGAGTCTCAGCATCTTTTTTACATTGTGGTGACCAAAACTGGATGCAGTGACCAAGTGTGGCCTTACCAAGGCATTGTAAAGTGGTATTAATACTTCACATGATCTCGATTCTATCCCTCTGCCAGACTCACAATCCATCCGCCTCCATCGGTGTCCATGTCGCACAGCACCTCCAGGGGCTGGCAGCCTTGGGGGCAGATGGTGTACCAGCCGCTCAGGACCACCCCCTTTTTCAAGAGCTCTTTGCAATTTTGAGCACCTGGGCAGAAAAAAGAGGGCAGGAGAGGTTGGGGCTGTCTATGCCAGGGTCTCTGCCAAGACGCCCCTCGCCTCTCTTGGTCCTGGGGGGTCCTGCTCTCTGGCTGCAGCTGGTTGGCAACAGGCATCCGGCCTGTTGAACAGACCAAACGGTTGCAGTGTGGTGTTGGAAGTTGGGGATGGGGGCTTTCCTTAACATGGGGGGGGTGGGCTGGATCCCCCCCCCTCCTCCAGAAATGTTTTTGGAGCAGCACTTTTTCATGTACAGATGAAACCTGGTTTTCTGTGTTTCCCAAAAGCTGCCGGGGGTCAGAAGTGGATCCTGCAGATGCTGGAACTGCCTGGCTACAGCACCGGCTCTCTAGGGAATTGGGGGAGAGGGGCTAGGAAAAGAATGGGTAGTAAGACCCCCATACACACACTCACCTCGCTTGCACTGAAGTGCCTGCAGCCTCTTCTCATCTGCAGAAAAGAAGGAAGTGAAGAAAAGCCCATTTCTGGCCCACCCCCTACCCCCCATGTGGCAGGGAGGGGATCCCATCATGCTGACCTGAATTTGGGGGGACAGAGGCTCAGCTAGGCCTGATGTGCCCCAGCCAGCCTACCTGTCAGGGGTCCCTTTCAGCCTAACTTCATGCCCTGCTGAGCTCCTTGGAGGGGGGGGGCTGAGTTGCACAATTCAGCTGGGGGGAGCCCTTTTGCTCCAGAGGAGAGGCTGGCTGAGGCCCTGATCCATGGCATCTCCTCCCGCTGTTCCCCTCGGAGGGGCCGCAGTCCTTACCAATTTCTCCTGGGTTGCCTTTGGGGCCTGGAATGAAAAGAGAAATTCCTCCTCTTTAGGGGGGTCCCCCAGCATCACTCTGGCTCAAAAGGGGGTGCCAAGCAGCTGGACCCCCCTGTGGGGAGAAGCTCATAAGTACCACCATCTGCTATGGGCACCAAGCTTCTCCCCAGCCCCCCAATGCCTCCTAGGCCATTTTCATAGGGGGTCCCATCCTTTTGGAGAACGTTTCTGGCACAGTGGAGCAAAACCAGATGGCGTGATTGACATGATTTGTGACAGACACTATTTGTGGCTGGTAGTGTGATGACACCCACACTAAGAACCAGGGTCCCGGAGCAGCACGTCCCAACTCTTACCTCTCTCTCCAGGTTCTCCTGTGTCCCCTTTTTCTCCTGAATTAAAGGGGAGAAATTCTTTTGAGACCTCCTGCAGTCAACCTGGTCCTCACCCCAGGCAGCCCCAGAGATGCTGTCATGGCTGCATCTCACCTATCCAAGCTTCATGAGATGACAGCCTGCCATTAGCAATGCGGGGGGGGGGGGGGGGGGGGGGGGGGGGGGGGGGGGGGGGGGGGGGGGAGGGATTGGAAGGTAAGGGGGGGAGGATGGAAGCCGAGCCATGCTAGAAGCTCCAGCCAGCCAAGCTCATTAACGATAGGCAGAGCTGGGAACTGAACACCTGTTTCCTAAATAATATACAAGCCCCTGATTGGACATTTGCAGATGACTGGAGGGATGATGGGCGGGAGAGGAAACTTTCCTTTGCGTTATTTGCACAGGAAAAACCTCAGATTCAGCTTCACAACTTCTGTAACCATTTAAGATTGAGCATAGTATACTGTTTCCCAGTTGCAATGTATGGCTGTGAAAGCTGGACCCTAAGAAAGGCTGAGCGCCAAAGAATGGAGGCCTTTGAACTCTGGTGCTGGAGAAGACTCCTGCGAGTCCCCTGGACTGCAAGGCGATCCAACTGGTCAGTTCTAGAGGAGATCAACCCTGACTGCTCTTGAGAAGGCCAGATCCTGAAGTTGAAACTCAGGTACTTTGGCCACCTAATGAGAAGGAAGGACTCACTGGAGAAGAGCCTGATGCTGGGAAAGATGGAGGGCAAGAGAAGAAGGGGACAACGGAGAAGGAGGTGGCTGGATGGAGTCCCTGAAGCAGCAGGCGTGAGCTTCAATGGACTCCAGAAGATGGTAGAGGACAGGAAGGCCTGGAGGAACGTTGTCCATGGGGTCGCGATGGGTCGGACACGACTGCGCAGCTAACAACAACAAATAGTATACTGTGGGCAAAAACAAATAGCCAGGAGTCTTTCTTTCCTAGACCAGAGGTCCCCAACCTTTGTGGACCGATGGGGGGGGAGGGGATGGTTCTGCGTGAGCAGCGGGAGAGCACATGCATTTGCGCAGCTTCATTTGCGCGTGGCAGGCACGTGCGCCCACCATGTGCATAAGTGGGGATCCGCACGCACATTTGCCCACCACTTCCACGGCACGGTTCCACACGGCCAAAGGTCCACTAGTGGGCTGTGGCCCAGGGATTGGGGACCCTGTGCTAGATGGCTGAGTGGGACGGTTGACATTAAGCTGAATCTTAAAAGGCAGGGGGTTAGACTAGATGACCTACAAGATCCTTTCCACCTCTATTACTCTGTTCACTCTGAATCTGAGGTTTCTAAGGGTGGGATGTTTGACAGATGCCAGAGCTTTTTCCCTGCCTACACCAAAGGTGAACTGACAGGTGAGGGTCTGTGGCCCTGGGGGGCGAGTGCTTGACCTTCAGGCTCAGGCAATCCCACCCCCCAGTTTTAGTGTCCCTTCTTTGGGCTCCGTTCCCCAAAGCCCCCCTGTCTCTCCACCAGCTGCCCAAACACACCTGCAACCCTGGAATCGAAACACCTCTCGTTCCACCTTACCTTTTGGCCCAGGGGCTCCAATTTCCCCTGGGATCCCCTGGAAGCCTCTTTCACCTGTTAAGAAAAGGCACGGTGAGGCTGCCAGGCCCTCTTCTTGGGGGGGGGAGCAGCCCCCAGTTAAAAGGGGGGTTGGGTGGGCTGCCCCCTGCCAGCCACTCCCTGTTCTTCGCAGGCTGAAACCGGAGCAGGGAGCTCAACGCAAGGAAATGCCACCTTTGGGAGGGGGAGATTCCACAGATGGAGAGACCCTTCCCTCTCGTGACAGTTCCTTGCCGTCTTCCCTCGTGGCGGTTCCTTCGGCCTTGTGGCCAGACGGGTTATTTCTTTGGGAAGGGGTCAGAGTCAGGAGCCAGCTTCACCCTCTGTCCACAGACCCACCTTTGGCCCCTGGAGCGCCAGGAGGCCCCCGGGGCCCCTGTGGTCCTGGCAAGCCTGGAGTCCCCCGCACAATGAGTACTGTCTCGTTGCCATCCAGGCCCAGCTCCTTAAATTCTGCAAAGGAAGGAAAACGTTTGGAGTAAAGAATTGCTTTTTTTAACTGAAGCAAACTTCTCATCTCTGAAGTCTGGCGACGCTGTTCCTCCTGCTCCTCTTCAGAGCCAGCCTGCCTGCTGCTCACCTGGGCAGGAGGACTCCTGTGCCCCTCGACACATTGTGATCATCAGGCAGAGCAGGAAAAGATCCACTGGCTCTCCAGCTCTCCTCATGGTGCCCACTGGACTCCGACTGCAGCCTGCCCTGGACCCTCTGCTTTTATTTGGGCAGCCTGCTTTTCTGTTTCCTTTCCCTTTTAAGTGGCGACTCCGGGGCAACAGTTACAACAACACAAACTGCTTTCTTGTTGATCAAAGCACAACCCTGCTAGTTAAACACAAGGTGAATTCTTCATTCAAGAGGGAGGCACTCCATCTGCTTCCAAGCAAATCTGCAAGGGGGGGAAATGGGATTACTTCAACACAAGACAAACTCAGGATCCAAAAAGATCTTGACGAGCTTGAACAATGGACCCTATCCAACAAAATGAGTTTCAGTGTGGAGAAATGCAAAGTCTTACACTTAGGCAGGAAAAAACCAAAGGCACAAATACAGACTGGGCGAGACCTGGCTTGGAGGCAGTAACTGTGAGAGGGACTGTGGAGTCCTAGTGGACGATCACTTGACTATGAGCCAGCTGTGTGCAGCAGCAACCAAAAAAGCTAATACAATCCTGGGTTGTATAAACAGAGGCATAGGATTAAGATCATGGAAAGTATTAGTACCGCTTTATAAAGCCCTAGTGAGGCCACACCTGGAACACTGCAGCCAATTTTGGTCACCATATCACAAAAAAGATGTTGAGAGTTTGGAGAAAATTCAGAGAAGAGCAACTAAGATGATCAAAGGCCTGGAGGCTAAAACATACAAAGAACAGCTACGGGACTTGGGTTTGGCTAGTCTAAAGAAAAGAAGAAATAGGGGAGATATGATAGCAGAGTTCCAGTATCTGAGGGGCTGCCACAAGACAGAGGGGGTCACGTTGTTCACCAGAACACCAGAGGGAAGGACAAGAAACAGTGGTTGGAAGCTAATCAAAGAGAGAAGCAACCTGGAATTAAGGAGAAACTTCCTGACAGTGAGGACAATTAACCAATGGAACGGCTTGCCACCAGAAATTGTGGGCGCTCCATCACTGGAGATTTTTAAGAAGAGACTGGACAGCCACCTGTCTGAGATAGTATAGATTCTCCTGCTTGAGCAGGGGGCTGGACTAGAAGACCTCCAAGGTCCCTTCCAGCTCCTATTCTATTCTATTCTATTCTATTCTATTCTATTCTATTCTATTCTATTCTATTCTAAAGATATCTCCAGGTGATCCTCTTTTTCTGCTCTTTCGTTGTAAGCAGAACCAGATTTCCAATCCGGAGTAAAGGACCGGATTTGTCCAATGGCCAAAATGATGCCATACTTCATATCTGGGGACAGACGTGAGCCAGGTAAATAACCACACAGTAACTTTCCTTTTTTCTTTTAATTAGTTTCATTCATTCATAACATAAAATGTGATACTCCAATATGTCCAAAACAATCCTGACATTATTTCTTATGTATCTTTTGGATAGAAAGCCATTTTGATCAGAATGAATAAAATCTGCTAGGAATCTTGGGCTGGACAAAATATTATTAGGCACGAAGGATAAAATGATTAAAAAACTATATCACTATTTGTTCGATCAGGCAATGTATGAGGAACAGGTAAAAGAGACTATGTTAACGTGGAGCAGGGATTTTGATCTCAATTTTGATCTGCACATCTGGCAGGAATTATGGGTAAGAAACAGGAAGCTTACTATGGCCACCTCTTACAAAGAAAACCTCTACAAAATGTTCTATGGGTGGCATCTCCCACCCGTAAGATTAGCCAAAATGGGTCCAAATGTTTCCTCCAAATGTTGGAAATGTAAATTGGCAAAAGGGACATACTATCACATGTGGTGGGAGTGTCCACGAGCCCGTGACTTTTGGAATAAGATTAAAAACTGGCTGGAAGAAATATTAAAGTTAGTGGTAGAGTTAAAACCAGAACTCTTTTTACTAGGCATAACCATGCAGAAATAGAACAAAGGAGTGTTTTATTTGATGTTGCACATTCTCACGGCTGCTAGATTGGTGTATGCTCAAAACTGGAGGAATAAAGGAATTCCAACAGAAGAAGAGATTATATATAAAATTTTATCGTGTGCTGAAATGGATAGGCTCACAATGGAAATGAAGGATAAGACAGAATCAGACTATTTCGAGATCTGGGACAAATTTTATCACTGGTGTGAATCAAGGAGAACTGGTCGGGTTTTAAATTAGCGTTAAAATAGAATTATATATAACTGTATATATAACTGTATTGTATAGAAGAATATGTTTATATAGAGATCAAGAACTATGTATTAATTACATGTATCAAGAGGAACGAATTGTTAGGAATATTTATTTTGGAATGTCACGTTATGTCCATCTTTGTTTTTAACTGTACTATAAATAAAAAACTTTTTATAAAAAAAAAAAACATAAAATGTGAACATACAAAAGCAAATAGTAGGGGACAACAGTAGAAAAAGGGAAAACAAAAAAGATGTGAAGAAAGGGAGGGGAAGAAACAAAAAGCATTGACTTCCGACTCTCTCTGTTGCAGTAAAAGCAGACATTAAAATCAAATCTCAACCGTTTACATTTCTGTAGTAGTATGCACTAGCCATTTCTGTATCAGCAGATCAGTCTAATCGGTAAAACCCAAAATCATGATGTCATTTTTTCCCACCTCAAGCACAAAGTCCAGAAGCGGTTTCCAAGTAGAAACAAAAGCACTTAATGTTCTTTTCTTTTATCAGCACAGTCAATTTGGCCATCTCTGCTAATTCCAACAGCTTTGGTAACCCTTCGTCCGTGGTGGGAATTGGAGGCATCCTTCCACTTTTGTGCATAGAGCAATTTTGCTGCCGTCACCATATATAATAATAATAATAATAATAATAATAATAATAATAATAATAATAATAATAATAATAATAATAATAATGACTCGATAGGTAGACAAAATGCCAAATCCAGTCTGAACATTTGGCTGACTGTGCGATGATCCATAATAATAATAATAATGATGATAATAATAATAATAATAATAATAATAATAATAATAATAATAATAATAATAATAATAATAATACATTTTGCAACCTGTCTTGCCATAGGTGTTAAGCAAACCACTGCAGTTGTTCAGATAGTAGCCTAGCTTTTAAGGGTCTCTGGCTTCCTCATCGGGTTGAAAATGAAAGACTGCAAACCAGTTGCTCTGACATCTGTAGTTATGGAAACCTTTGAAAGGTTAATGCGGATCACAGATCGGCTGTGAGACCCCTTGCAGTTTGCCTACGGATCGGGCAGGCGATCCTGTCAATATGGCTCTGCACGACACCTTACAACTCCTTGAATCTCCAAAGACCTGTGCAAGGGTCCTTTTTGCAGACTTCAGCTCGGCACTCAACACCATCGTTCCTGAAATCCTCCTTTCCAAACTGACTGAAATAGCTGCGCCTGACCAGGCTTCTAGGTGGATTATAAGGTTTCTGGCAGAGAGGAAGCAGCAGCAGCCAGAACAATTTGGAGCTGAACATGCTTAAAACCGTAGAGATGAAAGTGGATTTTAGAAGGAGCCCTCCTGTTCTGACACCTCTTACAATATTAGAAGACATGGTATCAATAATAGAATAGAACAGAACAGAACAGAACAGAACAGAATAGAATAGAATAGAAAAAAGAATAGAATAGAATAGAATAGAATAGAATAGAACAGAACAGAACAGAACAGAACAGAACAGAATAGAATAGAATAGAATAGAATAGAAAAAAGAATAAAATAGAATAGAATAGAATAGAATAGAATAGAATAGAATAGAATAGAATAGAATAGAATAGAATAGAAGAAGCAATGGGTAGAAACTAAGCAAGGAGAGAAGCAACCTAGAACGAAGGAGAAACTTCCTGACAGTTAGAACAATTAACCAGTGGAACAACCTGCCTCCAGAAGCGGTGAATGCTCCAACATTGGAGGTTTTTAAGAGGAGACTGGACAGCCATTTGTCCGAAATGGTATAGGCTTTCCTGCCTGAGCAGGGGGTTGGACTAGATCATGGCTTTTCAACCAGTGGTACAGGTACCACCTGTGGTACATTGGCACCTGGCAGGTGGTACGCGACCATCCTAGAAAAGCGGTAGCGGGGGAGGGGAATGAGCTGAACCACCACACAAGCCTGAGCCAGAGATGGCTGGAGCTGTAAGGCTGTCAGGGCTCAGCGGAAGCGCCAGGATCAATGCCGCTTTCCAACTGATCGGCGCTTCTTCAGGGCTATCAGGGCTCAGCGGAAGCGCCAGGATCAGCGCCAGGCTCCAGCTAGAAAGCAGCACTGATCCTGGAGCTTCTGCTGAGCCCAGAAGAAGCGCCGATCAGCTGGAATGTTGCAGCATCTCCAGGGTCTTGTGATTTACATTCAGATGCTTGGCAACTGATTCTTGTTTATGATGGTCACAGTGTCCCAGGGTCATGTGAAGTGACCAAAACCTGCTGCAACCACCCAGCAGACGAGGGGAATAAAAACCAAACACCACACCACCCCAACCCCGCTGCCAATCCTCAACAGAAATGCTCACAACAATGAAAACCTCAGACAGGAGGAAGAGCGCCGCCAGGTGGGCAGGCAGGTGTCTTGCTCGGCTGTGGCTTGAGGGGCACTTTTTTCAGTGCCATTGTAACTTCGAACAGTCATTAAACGAACTGTTGTAAATCAAGGACTACCTGTACTTTATCACTTTTTTCCTTTTTTGGGGGGGGGGGTCATCAAGTTTTTGACACCTTGCTATGCGACTGGTGGTACTCAGATGTTGCCCTATCCTAAAAGTGATACAATGGGTGAAAAGATTGAAAAGCCCTGATCTAGTCTAACCCCCTGCTCAAGCAGGAAACCCTATACAGTATTCAGACAAGTGACTGTCCTGTCCTGTCTCTTTTTCAAAACCTCCAGCGATGAAGCACCTAAAACTTTATTCTATCGAATAAAAAGCTAGCCAGGAGTGACTTTTTGTGACAAATCCATGCTGGCTCCTATTTAATAATCAGCTTGTCCCTCAAGCTGACACTGTTTGTCCCTTTGTGGGTCCTTCTCTTTTCCTCTGTTCTTTTCCAATTACTCCGGCCTCTGAGTAGAGGATGACTCTTGTGCCTTCAAGAAGTCTTTGAGTCAAAGGAATTGGCAGAGGAAACATTTCCTGGTGCGGATGCCAACTACTGTTAAAAGCAGAGGTGTTTGCTGATAGCACGGAATTGTAGCCCCTCCAGTTGGCACCACTTCTTCAGGAGAGATTCCAGTAGATGCTACTTAACAGTCAATGGAGGTGGTTCTCCTGGAGGGGAGGTTTTTAAGGAGTAGCTGCTCTCAAGGACAACTTAATTGGTTTTTTGTGCAAATTGCAGGAGTTGGATTAGATCAGTGGAACAGCTGGCCTCCAGAAATCGTGGGCGCTCCACTCCTGCAGGTTTTTAAGAAGAGACTGGACAATCACCTGTCTGAGACGGTATAGGTTCTCCTGCTTGAGCAGGGGGCTGGACTAGAAGACCTCCAAGGTCCCTTCCAGCTCGATTCTATTCTAGATCAGGGGTCGCCAAACCTGGCATACTGTAGCTGGCTGAGGAATTCTGGAAGTTGAAATCCACAAGGCTTGAAGTCGCCAGGTCTGGAGGCCCCTGGATTAGATGATGGTCTGGTCCCTTCCCATGCTCCAATACATGACTCAGTGGTTTTATATCCAGAAGATCTGCGCTGGACAATGAAGGTCTGTCCACCTTCAGCCATGGCTACTCAAGGGATGGATCCCTGTGCAGCTAGGGGGTAGGCAACCTCGGCTCTTTTATGACTCATGGACTTCAACTCCCAGAATTCCTGAGTCAGGAATTCTGGGAGTTGAAGTCCCCAAGTCATGAAGGGGCCAAAGTTTCCCTCATGCTGGCTCAGGAATTCTGGGAGTTGAAGTCCATGAGTCATAAAAGAGCCGAGGTTGCCTACCCCTGGGCTAGGACAACCTGAATAGCATGCCATGGGCTGTGCTAGAGAAGGAGGTCGGGTCACTTTAAAAAAAAGTTTAAATGTTAAACTATGGATCACAGGCACTCCTAGGAATCCCAGAGCCCTGAACTGTATTAGATTTCCAGGTGTAAAATAAATGAAGCTGCCCTGAGCAATCAGGGCAACAAACACAGAGGCAGACACACAATGACACCTCCAGAGGTCCCCCAGGCTCTCGTCTTTCATTTGCTCCTAATTCACACATGGAGCAAAGGGGGGACCGAGCATGTCCTTTCTCACAGCAAGTTAAAGTCCACCAACCCTGGACTCAGAGCTGGGAGCCCAGCTCGCTTTAGCAGCAGCAATAAAGTTGATGAGTGATGGTATCTGTGCAGCTTTAGGAAATGCCGGGCGTGAAATTGGCATTGAAACCAAGAACGGAGTGGGCAGCTTCTTCACCTCCTGATCCAACTTTACCAGCTGGCAGAAAAACCAACTTCAAGTCTCTCTTCCCAGAGTGTGCTAGAAGAGGGACTGACCACAGGTGGACACTCAGATGGAGAGTTTGGCTGCTTCCCAGGCTGCCCAAGTGACGAGTCACAGTCCCTAGAAGGTGGGGGAGCCAGGAGGGATTCTTCAGAATCACAATCAGAATAGAGCTGGAAGGGACCTTGAAGGTCATCTAGTCCAACCCCCTGCTCAAGCAGGAGAACCTATACTACTCCAGTGATGGAGTGCCCACAACTTCTGGTGGCAAGCTATAATAGTAGTAGTAGTAGTAGTAGTAGTAGTAGTAGTAGTAATAATAATAATAATAATAATAATAATAATAATAATAATAATAAAAAAAAACAACAACAAAACAACAATAATAATAAAAAAACAACAACAACAAATAACAAAAACAACAACAACAAAGTTGGAAGGGACCTTGGAGGTCATCAAGTCCAAACCCCTGCTCAGGCAGGAAACCCTATACCATTTCGGACAAATTGCTGTCCAGTCTCTTCTTAAAAATTTTCAGTGTTGGAGCATTCACCGCTTCTGGAGGCAGGTAGTTCCACGGGTTAACAGTTCTCACTGTCAGGAAGTTTCTCCTTAGTTCTAGGTTGCTTCTCTCCTTGATTAGTTTCCACCAGTTGCTTCTTGTCCTGCCTTCAGGGGCTTTGGAGAATAGCTTGACTCCCTCTTCTTTGGGGCAGCCCCTGAGATATTGGAACCCTGCTATCATGTTCCCCCCTCGTCCTTCTCTTCGTTAAACTAGACCTACCCAATTCCAGCAGCCGTTCCTTATATGTTTTACCCTCCAGTCCCCTAATCATCTTTGTTGCTCTTCTCTGTCCTCTTTCTAGAGTCTCAACATCTTTTTTACATCGTGGTGACCAAAACTGGATGCAGTATTCCAAGTGTGGCCTTACCAAGGCATTGTAAAGTGGTATTAACACTTCACGTGATCTTGATTCTATCCCTCTTCTTTTCTTTAGACTGGCCAAACCCAAGTCCCGCAGCCGTTCCTCGTATGTTTTAGTCTCCAGGCCTTGGATCATCTTAGTTGCTCTTCTCTGCACTTTTTCCAAACTCTCAACATCTTTTTTGTAATGTGGTGACCAAAAGTGGAGGCAGCATTCCAGGTGTGGCCTTACTAAGGCTTTATAAAGCGGTACTAATACTTCACGAGGCTCTTCCTTAGGTCATTACTATAAGGTAATATTTCTCTGTGTCTGTGCATTGACCGGCAGTCAGCATCGCTCTTCTGAAGGGCCGCTAAACTTGTGTTCAGAGTCAGACTGGCTCCCAGGTACATGCAGATGAGGTAGGGCAGTGGTGGCGAACCTATGGCACACGTGCCAGAGGCGGCACTCAGAGCCCTCTCTGTGGGCACGCGCGCCATGCCCCGGAGATGGCAACCGTCCCTCTTCAACCAGCCGCCCGCTAACTCGTCGAGGTCCCACATGGCCGGATGCTTCCCAGCACCCATGTGCTTGCTGGCCTCTGTGTGCAGGGGCTGATGGTGTCAGGCAGAAACTGCCCCGGCCCCTTGCCCTGTAACAATGGCACCCCTGCCCTGCCTTGCCTCGCCTCACCCCGCAGGATGAGCCTCCTGCCCACCCCCCCACCTGCCCGAGACCCCCTGGATCTCCCCCCAACCCTGCCCGGCTCCCACAGGCGTCCCTCCCCACGAGCAACATCGAGGTGATCATGCCCACCTTGGCCACACCCACCCAGTCTGCCATGACCACCACAGCCACGCCCACCCAGTGGGCCATGCCCACCTGGCACCCGGTGATAAATAAGTGGGTTTTGGGTTGCAGTTTGGGCACTCGGTCTCTCAAAGGTTCGCCATCACTGAGGTAGGGGGAAGAATTGATACGGAGTAGTGTCTCTCATCAGCTGCTGATGCCAGGGAATGTACTACCCAGAAATAGCTCCTGGGCCGGCCTGGAGAACAGAATTCCAGAACTGAGTGGCTGAGACGGGCTCAGCAGCAGCTAGGACCCAGCTGTCAGGACCCTGTCCAAACGCTGCCATTCCAAGGGCGAGGGGGACAGCTAGTTGGGCTTTGAAGAATTTGTTGCTTTCACCTTGATACATTAGTGTGGGAAACAGAGAGGGAGGAATGGGCCGTCAGTCGCAGTG